ATCTGTATTTTACTTGGTAATTCTTCTGGTATAAACTATTAAAAATTTTGATAAGCGGCAACACTGGTAGACTGCTTATGTATGAAATAATAAATAATAATTATTGTTGCATCTCAGTTGGTCATCGGCTGTCACCGCAGTGAGGTTTAAAAATATTTGCAAATCGTTTTAAATTGTTTTTGGTCGGTTTTCGTGTCAGATATATTTAACAGGTAAGTAATATTTGTTATTTAGTAATTTTTGCTACATTTAATGACACGAGTTTATTTAAAAAGATTGTTTAAATTCAAAATTATTTTTTTAGCATGGGCAAAATTGCAGACTTGTCTCCAGGGAAAATTAGAGAAATAAAAACATTATTACTGCACTCGAGGCTTTCCCAGAGAGTTATAGCAACTACTGCAAGTGATTCAAAGTCTGTAGTTAATCAAATAAAAATAAAAATGAATTCAAACGTGGCATTGGAACCCGGTCGTGTTGGAAAATGTGGCAGGAAAAGGATTACTACTCCTCGTACTGATCGTAAAATTAGGGATATTTGTCTCCAAAATCGTAAAAAGAGTGTGACACATCTGACTACGATGATTAATGATGAAGGAATTAATGTTTCCAGAAGGACAGTACGACGACGACTGGCCAAAGAATCTGCTAGGTCGCCGGCCTATGAAAAACCACGGCTCACCGAAGCCATGAAGAGAAAGAGACTCCAATGGGCCAAACAACACCGAAGTATGACTGTTGAATACTGGAGTCGAGTAAGTATGACTTTTTTTAACTAATGAAGTTTGTGAACAGCGAATATTATAATTTTTACAGGTATGCTTCTCCGACGAATCAACATTCCAGATTTTGGTAGATAAAAGTGCGTTTGTCCGACGACGTCCTGGGGAGCAGTTCCATCCAGATTGCATTGTGGAGAGAGTTAAACATCTGGTGAGTGTCATGGTGTGGTCTGTAATCTCGGCAAAGGGTATGGGACGCTTATACATCGTGAAAGGGACAATGAGACAGGACCAGTATAAGCGAGTACTTGAAACTCGGCTACTGCCCCAGCTCAAAGAATGGTTCCCTGGTGAAAAAAATTACATTTTTATGCACGATTCTGCACCGTGCCACAAAGCTAGGAGTGTAACTGCATATCTGATCAAAGAAAATATTGCAGTTCTGCCCTGGCCGGGAAACTCACCTGACATGAACCCTATAGAGAGCATGTGGGAGTTAACCAAACGGGAGATCGCCAAAGATGTTATCACCACGAAGCGGCAGTTGATTGAAGCTCTTATTAGAGAATGGCATCATAACCCTAACTTAAAACACAACGCAGGAGTTTGTATTCAGAGCATGCCCCGACGCGTAGAAGCTGTAATTGCAGCAAAGGGTGGCATCACTAATATTAAAATTAGTCATATTATGTTTGTTATGTTATGTTATGTATTTTGCGAAAAAAATAAATGGTTTTAATAACAAAACTTAATGTTTTTGTGACCCTAATTTCTCAATCTCTTATACAAAAAATAAATGCAAGCTTAAAGCCAAACAAATTGCAAAAAAAATCAGTAAAACTAAAAAATTAAGAAATCTTTTACTGTCCCTAATAATTTGGCCACCCACTGTATTCATAATGCGAATTAATCAATCTTTCGAAAGAAGTGTATTATACTGGTTTGCTTCAAAGCTTCAGGTTTTTTTTTAAGAGAAAAATGGCCTGAAATGATTTTTCATCACTTTTGTTTTGTAGACAGAAGGTTTGTAAGGTATCGAATGAGGATCTTGCCTCCTTAACTGACATCTCTGCCAAAGGTTCTAATGTATCGTATTCATCTTCATTGTTACTTTTTTCATTCGTATCTGTCGCAGATAAAATTTCGCCATCGGTTAGTGAACCTGAGACAGAAACATCTTTATCCAATTTAACAAGGTCAGAAAAACTCACACTGGTGATATCAACTAATGGTTCTATTGCTGGTTCTTCATCATCCATAAGTACTGGAAAATTTTTCTGATCTTCTTTTAAGAAACTGGATTTTTTAAAGCAGTTGAGAATTGTTAGGAGTATTACACCTCTCCCTGTCAATCAGTAAAATAGCTGTCAGAACCTTGATATTTGCAGTTAGCTGTTTGTCGAGAAATTCTAAAACGAGCTTAACAATTCTTTGCGACAGAACGTCTTAAAATTATGGATGATCCCTTGGTCCAATAATTGCAATTTGGAAGTTTTATTTGGTGGAAAGAAGTAGAGTTCCACGTTGGACAATGTAGGAGGACTGTTGTGAACAGTATAATTGTCTAAAAATAGTAAAATTTTTTTGCTTTTGCTGTTTTATGCACCCATTAACTGTTAAAAGCCAATTGTTAAAAAGTTCTGATGTTGTCTAAGCTTTTTTGTTAGCACAATAATCCGTAGGAAATGATTTCACACCTTTGAAACATCGCGCTTTCATTAATTTTCCTATCACTAAGGGTTTAATTTTTTCCGAACTGTCCATATTTACTGCAAGTAAAACTGTTAAGGGTAGTGACATCAAGATTGGAGAAAAAATTAGATTTCTACCAACCGAGAGAGCAGGCAGGATTCCGCTCAAATTATGGTACCAATGATCACCTCCACACAGTAAAAACACTCATTGAAAAATCTATAGAATATAACAAACCTCTTGTTCTCACTTTCATAGATTTTCATAAAGCGTTCGACACGATCGAATTAGACAGCCTTATAGAAGTCATGAATGACAGCAGGATTGACCATAGGTATAGTGAGCTTATTTATAATATTTACAAAAATGCCACTGTGACTGTTAAAATAGACAATAAAACCCGACCAATACAAATAAATCGTGGAATAAGGCAAGGAGATACATTGTCGCCGAAATTATTCATAACGGCATTAGAATATGCCTTTAAGATGATCATTTGGGACCACAGAGGAGTAACGATAGACGGCGAAAAGCTTAACCATCTCCGTTTCGCAGATGACATTGTCCTTATCACAGATAATTTAGGAGAAGCTACAGATATGATAAACGAATTGGATTTTGCATGTTCTAAGGTGGGCCTGAGAATGAACTTGACCAAAACTAAGTTTATGACAAATTTGGTCCCCAATAACCATTTGACTATTCAAGACAAAGTGGTAGAACTGGTGGAGAAATATACGTATTTGGGTCATGAAATAAGAATCAGCAGGGATAACCAAACATGTGAGATCCAAAGACGAATTATTTTAACATGGGCAGCCTTTCGAAAACTGCGAGACACACTTAGGGCCAACATACCAATCAGCCTCAAAAGAAAAGTGTTTGACCAATGCGTATTACCGGTCATGACTTATGGGGCGGAAACTATGACTTTAACCAAGACCACGACTTCGAAACTGAAAGTGGCACAGAGACGAATGGAACGGTCTATGCTGGGAGTGACGTTGAGGGACCGAATAAGAAACGAAGATCTGCGAAGAAGGACGAGTATTACTGATGTTGTGGAACGCATAGCGGAACTAAAATGGAACTGGGCAGGCCATGTAGCGAGAATGCACGATTCACGATGGACGAGCAAAATTACAAATTTGAGGCCAAGAGCAGACAAACGCAGTAGAGGAAGACACCTACACGTTGGGCCGACGACATCAGGCTTATCACTAAAAATTGGCAACAAAGAGCACAAAATCGAGAGGAATGGAGGAGTTTAAGGGAGGCCTATGTCCAGCAGTGGACGTGATAAATAGAGGCTGGATGATGATGATGATGAAAACTGTTAACGTCTCATCACTATGTTTTTCTCCATGACATTTTTCATCTTTAAAAGTAAGCGTCTTGTCCGGTAAAAATTTAAAAAATAAGCCAGTTTTATCACTATTAAAAATGTTTCGGACATCATAGTTTTTAATCAAGGTCTTAAATTTACCGTGCCAATCTAAACAAACTGCATGATTAACACTTCACTTTCCCCACAAGTTTTTTCGTATCGAATGAACTATATTCCAATAAAGTCGTCGCAGGAACGCAACTCAAAAATATTGACAATATCATTTTGAATTCATTTACTTTAAAATGTATAATATATGAAGCACGTGGTGTTTTCTCGGTCCTGTTATATGGGGTGGAGGCGTGGACACTAAATAAGCAATGTATGGGTAAGCTGGAGGCATTTGAGATGTGGGCATACCGAAAAGAATGTTAAAAATCTCTCTGGAAGGATAAGATAACTAACCAAGTTGTATTAGACAGGATGAACAAACAAAAGGAGGTCGTATTGAGTGTTAAAATGAGGAAACTACAATACCTGGGACATATTACACGTGGGAATAAATATCAACTGTTACAACTGATTATGCAAGGAAAGATTAAAGGTACTCGCAGCATAGGTAGGAGAAGAATGTCATGGTTAAGAAACCTCAGGGAGTGGTTTGCTTGCACTTCCATACAATTGTTCTGAGCGGCAGCCTCCAGGGTCAAAATTGCCATGACGATAGCCAACCTTCGTAGCGGAGATGGCACGTGAAGAAGAAGAAGAAGGTCTAAACTTCTTAATTTGCTCTGTGCCCGAACCGTTATTTTTCATTTTCTGAATAGCGGGATTAATCTCAGCATCGTTGAAAGGTCCTCTCAGCTGAATGGTTTCAACCTCCCTTATTTTAAGTTCTGGTTAAGATTCTCCAGTAGTTTCCAAGCAGATCTACTGTTCTGTACCATGTTCATATTTTGGAAAAGACGGCACCATTTTGATATTCGTTCATCTGAGATGACAGCAAGTAATATTTCTCCAGCTCGGTAAGTATCATCGCTGAAAGGGTTTTTATCATATAGTTTTTTAATGAATTCAAAAATATTGTCTAGATTGTATCCTCTTTTAGTATTCTCAGCGGAGAGAAGTTTGGCGTTATGTATCAGTTATAATTTTCCATGATCCGCCCATAGTTCCAATCGTATGCCACTGTCGTCAGTATCTCTGTATCCTCATGCAGTTCTTTGAAAATAAAAATCGTCAAGAAAGAAGTTACCGTTATGGTAGTTAAAATTGTTAGGTTCTGTCAAAACAAGAGGCTTCTCCAAGAGGCTTCTTGTATTCAAAAGTCACAAGAAAGCTTGGTGTGCATATAGTAATAATTTTTATGTTGTTGAGTTTACTACTAGCAGATGATGGTATGTTCAACTCAGGTCGGGGCAAACAGCACTTGCATATTTATCATGCGTTTCCTGCACTAGAAGCACGGCACATTTGTGTTTAGCACATATGTCTGATAACAAAATTTTCTTATTTCTAGATATGCCCACAATATTTATTAACATTATCAGAATAGTTGGTCCCGAAACGAGCCGATTTGACAGTCATGTTGAACTGGTGATTGAAGGATTAGCTGGTGATTGAAGATTTATTCATTAATCGTTGCCAGGGTACGTCTGATTGCTGTGATTTCATTGATACTGCAGTCTTCGTGGCGGCTCCTTCTTTTGTAGGTTATATTTACCTGTAGAAATATAAGAAGTTGCTTCCCTGTCCTTTATAAGAATAGTAGTATAACAATAATAATCTTCCTTAAAAGGAGTGTAATATGGCAAAAATCTAGTTAATCCTAATAAATTTCATCCTCCTCGTCACCCTATAAGGCTTATCAAAATAAAAAAATCCCAATGACCTGAAAATTGTAAAAACACTTCCATAATTAACTTACGTAGCATCATTCGTATGACGCATACTCTTTGATAAATAACTTTTACACATATCTTTTAGCAAACAAACGACAAGGTCATTAATTTAAAAATTGCAGCTATTAATAATTCTCCTAACAAATCATATATTTTTAAAGTAATTCCCAAATTAAAACAACGAACTAATAAATCGTGATTATATAATTGCTGTCTATAAAAGATGATTATTAACCTCTTACTGGATAAACACGAGACCAAAGATATAGCACAGGAAGATTGCTTATTTATGAGCTTGACAAACTATATTATATTGTGCATTCATTTTTGTATACGTTGTGTATTTTTAGATCATTGTATATTTACAATAATATTTGGCGTTCGTATGTTTAAGAACATCAAAAAATGTTTAAGAAACATTTTTGATAATTCTCATTACTCTCAATTTTTGTTTAATGTCATTTAAAACAACATTTAACAAGACCGTATGCACACAATTTCGGGTAAATGCTTTTTAAATGTATTCATTTTTTTTCGAATCCTAAGAAAACTAATAAATATTTTTGAAAAATTTAAATGCAGAAGGAAAGATTATATTATTACCGAGGGCCCAAAGTCCCTTAGAATATACAAAAAGTTTATTTTAACTGAGATATTTGAAATTAAAAATCACTTACAGTATTGTGCGGATCAATGTGAAGAGAATTAATTTGTAAATATGATTTATTTAGGCCAAAGGTAAATTTAGCTACACTTACATGAGATTTTTTCAATAGTTAGTATTTAATATGTCCCCCTTTTACTTTTATGACTTCCTGGAATCTTCTAGGCATGGAATCCACAAATTTTTTGCAATTGTTTGTGATTGCTTCATTTCTAAACCACACTTTAATCACTGCGTCCACCATTTTTTTTTGTCGTACAGTCAAATTTTTGCTGTTTAGCCTTACATATTGCCCACAAATTTTCAATATGATTAAGGTCAGGTGAATTCCTAGGCCAATCAAGATGGGTAATATTATTATCCTTGAATATTATTTCATCATAACCTTCGATACATGGCACGGAGCTAAATCTTGTTGAAAAATTGCAATCTCTTCCGCCTGTACTTTGTCAAGCACTATAGCATGGCTTTGTATCTTTCACTGTTCATCATACCTTCAATAGGAACAAGAGTACAAGTTCCCAAGTATGAAAAACAGCCCCAGAACATTTTTTTGGTGGGATGTTTAACTGTTTGGTTAATATGGCTAGCTGAAAGTGACTCATTGGCTGCCTTTCGTACGAATTTTAATCGCTGGCCCTGCACAAAAAAGTGGATCTCATCAGAAAATAACACTTTTCTCCAATCTTCTTCACTCTAATGAGCGTATTATTTGCCCAATTTAGTCTTTTTTTTTTCATCATAGGCGCTGTCAGAAGTTGTTTCTTCTGTAGCCTCACGGTTCTTCTCTTTCCTTCTAAGAGACATCTGCGTACCATTGAGTCTTGAATTTTTATTCCAGCCTTTTCTAAATCATGCTGGAGGTCATAACTTGTTTTTCTGGGATGAAGTTTGCTATCGCGCAAAAGAAAGTCTTCTTCTCGGGGAGTAGTTTTCCGTTTTCTTCCACATTTTCCTTTTCGCTTCACTTCAACTGACCCTGTTTCCTTTTTTTTTGTTTAATTATTTTGTTTACTGCACCCAAATTTACACAACACTTCTTTGCAATGTCCCTCTGAGTCATTGGTATATGCTCACTAAGTGTTATGATCCTCTCTCTTTTGCTAGGAGTGATATCCATATTAAAAAGTTAGACCTGCACAGTTAAATCAATGAAAATAACACCAACTTGCACATAACCTGAGATACAACAAAACATATAATGATATAAAACACAAAGCACTACTATACTAATATACTATATACTAATAAGGTTTTGAGGTTATGTTGTTTTTTTGACAAAACAGTTGATAGAATAGGCACAGCAGGTGTGCCAACTTATGAAAACTGAAATGCATTTAGAAAGCATTAGCCCGAAATTTTGCGCCTACGCTCTTACAGAACCTCTCTTTTGTTGAGATATTGATTGATTGGATTGATATATATATATATATATATATATATATATATATATATATATATATATATATATATATATATATATACAGTAGAACCTCGATTAACCGAGGTAATTGGGACCGAGAGTACCTCGGATACGGCAAAACTCGGATAACACGGAACGTTACCTAAATATAGTACAATACTGCAATTGGTATTATAAATATGTCTCAATATACTTAAATGACAATATAAAACTAGTTATTTGTGACTTTTGTTCAGTTTATAAATACAAGAAACATTTTAAAAAATGTAAGAAACCAAATAAATGTATTTACATAACATACCATATACAGTATCTTCAGAAATGTTGCAAACAGACGGCCTCGGTTAACCCGGAATCTCGGTTAACCGAAAATCGGTCAACCGAGGTTCTACTGTATATATATATATATATATATATATATATATATATATATTATATATATATAATATTATATCTATATATATATATATATATATCTATATATATATATATATATATATTTATATATATATATATTATTATATATATATATATATATAGTTTTTTAACTGCTGAAGAAACGCCTTGTCTGAGTAGACAAATTGCGGACGAAGTTGACCTAAAGGAGAGAACTGTAAGGAATATTTTAAAACGAAATGTATACAATTGCTATAAAGTGCAAACCACTCAAGAACTTTTTCCAAACGATTATTTTAAACGTATGGAATTTTGTGAAACTATGATATAGAGATTTTTGAGACATTATAGCGTATAATGTCAATAAATAACACCAAAACTATTATTTACCGATCTATATTATTTACCGCATGAAATATTGAGCAGAGAATTTTAGGAAAATACTCAAAAAATAACAATTTATCGAATACTTACTCCTGCCACACAGATTAATAAAATAAGTCGCCATCTTTCAAGTAAGTTCCACCAACACTGAGTACTATCTTACTCATGCCTCTGAGCAAATGCTACAAACTAAAAAACCACCAACTTTACGATCGTGTTCAGCCGTTTCGAAAAGGTTCCGTAGTACTGCGAGAGGTCTGGAATGGATCTAACACAAAACAAAAATCATGATTGTCAGGAAGAACAAAATTGTATGATGTAGATTTAATGTAGATAACAATCTACGTTATAGAGAAAGCTTTAGAGAAAGTACCCAGATACTTAGAATGAGACCTTAATAAACAATGGAACTCCAGCCTTCAAATAAAACGACTCATTGAGATTGCCAGCAGCGCTTTCAATAAGATCAACTTAGAGCTGAAGTTTTGAGATGCTACGTATTCCTGCCCATTTATGTGGAGTTGAAGGCTGAACAACTAAGGACGTAACTGAAAAAAGACTTACTAGCTTTGACATATGGTGTTATCGAAGAATGCGCACGTATCATGGATACAACTCCTAACCAAATGAAAAAAGAAAAACAAATACTAAACACTATGAAGGAGAGAAAATGAGCTGGTATGATCAACATTTTTAACGTATTTTATTATTATATTATTATATTAATTTGAAAAAAACTAAATGTATGGTAATCACGAAATCAAAGAACATCAGAGCTAATCTTGTAATAGACAATACAACGATTGAGCGTGTGCCCTGTTATAAATATCTAGGTGCTTGGATCACAGACGATACTGATCAAACAAAAGAGATTAGATGTAGAATAGAAATCGCTAGATCAGTCTTTAATAGAATACGCAAACTCTTTTGCAATCGTGATATCAATATAAATTTACGAATACGAATGCTGCGGTGTTATGTTTTTTCTACCCTGTTATATGGAGTTGAGGCTTGGACACTAAAACAGTTGACCATAAAAAACATTGAAGCTTTCGAGATGTGGTGCTATAGGCGCATTCTCAGAATATCATGGATGGACCGCGTCACTAACACGCAAGTACTCCAAACTTTAGATAAAAGATGCGAAATTCTAAATGAGATAAAAACTAGAAAGATGGAATACTTGGGGCACATTGTGAGAGGTGAAAAGTACGAACTTAAGAAACATCATGCAGGGCAAAATTAAGGGCAAAAGAAGTGTGGGAAGAAGAAAAATATCATGGCTTCGTAATCTACGTGAATGGTTCGGGTGTAGTTCGATTGAACTTTTTAGGCGCGCTGCTAACAAAGTCGCAGTGGCCATGATGATTTCCAATCTCCGCTAGGAGTGGCACGAGAAGATTATTATATGAAAAAGAAAGTAGAATCTTACTATTATTAATTATTATATAAACTATTTAATATAAAATATCTTATTTTTACGCATTTTTCCTGGACTATAAGTAAACAACCTTCTCGCAGATAACACCGCTTCCAAGACAATTTACCGTTGTAAACAAAAATTATTCTTTCTGAAGTCGGTGATTTCCCTTTTCTTATCGCAAGGCGCTCATTATGTATCTGGAGTCACAGGGATTATCTTCTGCACTAACACTGTTTGTGGGCGAAGTAAAGTACCGAAGTTTATGGCACTGGCCACACAAGTTTGTGCTATATATTGCAAATGAAACCAAGTGATAATCATCAGTTCAAGATCAGCTTCTAATACTGAACGAGAGTCGGTGAAGTGAAAGCAACAGTAATTAATAATAATATATAATTATACAGGTAAATATACATGCATTATATACTTTAGTTTATATACAGGATGACTACATTTATCGTACTACTATTTTTTATATTATAACTACTGTTTTATTTTTTTTTATTTTTGTTTATTTTAAAGTTCACTTTTCAATAAAACTACTTCATTGAGATTTTCAATTATACATTTCTGACAAAATTTATATTTATCTTTCGTATTTGTAACTTAATGTTAATAACATTTAAAGAATAACAGCAGTAATTTAGATTTTTGAAATTAGTGTTTTCTATAAATTTTGATTCTTTTCGCCATCTTTCCGTTCCTTTATTGCTCTATTTGTTGTCATTTGACTTATATGGTCGTTTTATTCTACTCTTCTCTTTCATATCCAGTCTTCTACGTTCTCCACTTTGCATCACGTCATGTATCTGTACTTCTAGCTTTGTCACGTAATATCTTACCATGAATTTTTCTTTCTCAATTTTCATATCTCTGCTATTTCTAGCATTCTATTTATTATTTGTGTGTTGAGTGGCCTTTCTTCTGCGTATGTCATTATTGGACTAATGACTGTTTTGTGAATTTCTTTTCCGATATTTTTATTCCCCCATATTTTTCATTCAGACATTCTGCGGCTGTGTTTGCTGTATTTACCTGATCTTTCACTGCTATTCCGAGCTTTCCGTATAATAGACAGTGTGATGCTTCTTCTTTTTTACGTTCTATCATCGTCAAACATAAGTACATGTTCTGATTTATATCCATGCATCTATGAACCAGCACATTCAAGCCGAACAAAGCATCTCTTGTGCTCATACCATTTCTAAAGCCAAATTGTGTGTCACTAATTTTATATTCAAGAATTTTAACAGTTCTGTTGTGTAATATTTTCAAAATAAATGTGATAAATAAGATTCATTAAATCTATTGTTCTGTGATTTCTATGCACTTGACTTTTTGGGTATTGCCACAAAGGTCGATTGCAGCCATTGTCTGGGGATTGTGAAAGTCTGATATATTAGAGTTCAACCATTACATCAATACCATCTTCATAAATGAGTTTTAATAATTTGATAAGCACGTCATTTGGTCCGGTAGCTTTGCCCTCTTTTGTGTTTTTGATGGCATAGATGACTTCTTCCCTTTATATTGGTGGTATCCGGTATCCTGTGGTCTCTAATGATAGTTCTTCTCTTTCATCATTAAACATCTTTGGGATGTAATTGGTCCAGTGACACAATATTTCCTTCATATCAGTAATAATATCTCCTTTATCATTTTTAAGGATATTTGTTCTGGAGATTTTTCTATAACCTTTCATTTCTTTAATTTTTTTTTGTGTATTTTAAGGCTATCACACTTTTTATCCAGATCTTCTATTTTGTCGCATCTGTCAGAGAGCCACCTCTCTTTTCACCCAGGAAGTTTCTTTCTGATGTTTTTCTGAATTTATTTTAATTATTCAGGTCTTTTGTTCAAGAATTTCTACTGTCGTCCAAGGTTTTGTTTTCTTCTCCAAGTGATTTGAGAGTTTCTTTTCCAACTGACACAAGAGCATGTTGAATTTTCCCCATTTTTGGTCAGAGTTTCTGCAATATCTTCTTTGGCTGTCCTAAAGTTTTCGTTTATTTTAACTTTTGGATTATTTGGAAAAAAATGTACACTCAACAACCACTGAAACAGAATAAAAGGCAGACAAACAGGAGTAATCCTAGTCGCACGAAGAAGAAGAAGAAGAAGAAGGGATTTACCGTGAAAATGACCTGAGAGGCCTTGTAGTCTAAATCTGATTGTCCTTTCCTGCCGGATCTTGGATTCCGAGCTCCATGATCATTAAGTAAATTTTCGACTAGTGGGTCCATGATATGTGTGAAGTGTGCTTATATTTAAACTTCATCACTTGTTTATAACGAAGGGTTGTAACGCCACGGAGTAAGTAAGTAAGTAACTTGTTGTGTTATTGCCACTCCAGCTTCAATTTACATTTTAGTAGATTTGCTGTTGATATCATCAACATCATCATATTTTATTTTCTTCATGGTGATGATCGAGAAAGTCAATGTCTTAAATTTAGGTACATATAATACCAATCAAGCTACATATTACTGGTTTTTCAAGCACCAAATCGATTTATACTGTTTTAGATCGTGCCACAATTGTCAAAAATTGGCAGTAGGTTTTTGCAAGAACTATCGACATATATTTTCTATATTCTTTATTTATATAAATTTGGTTTTTTCTTGGTTTACCCTAAAACATTACATATTTTAAATTTATTTAAGAAAATAATATAAATTTTGTCTTTTCTTATTGTTCGTAATATATTTTTCAATAATTGTTCACTTTGTTATTTTGGTACATCTTTATTTAACTGTCTTTTTTTTTCAGATCAAAAATGAAGTTTTCCGCATACCTTGCATTGCTGATGGTACTGGCAGTGGTAGTCTCGACATCAGCCAAACACCACAAAAAGAAAAAGAACTGGCAGGTTCAACCAGGCGTTGGTCGTGACGCAGCTGGAAACGTCAATGCAGGAGTAGAAGTGAAAAACTCTGGAAAAAAACCACGATTTCGAAGCTGGCTGGAACAAAGTAGTAAGAGGACCAAATAGAGCCAAGCCTACATGGCACGTAGGCGGTACTTGGAGGTTCAAAAGATCACCGGATCCACAATGGGAAGTCAATCCTGGTGCTAATCGTGATGAAAATGGTAACGTCAATGCTGGCGTTGAGCTTAAAAGGAAAGGAGAAAAACACGATTTCGAGGCGGGATGGAATAAAGTAGTTAGTGGACCCAATAGAGCTAAACCAACATGGCACGTCGGTGGTACCTTACGATTCAAAAGATCACCAGTGCCTGACTGGCAAGTCAACCCTGGAGCAAGCCGAGATGAAAATGGTAATGTCAACGCTGGTGTTGAGGTTAAAAGAAAAGGAGAAAACCACGACTTCGAAGCAGGGTGGAATAAGGTTGTGAGGGGTCCCAACAGAGCTAAACCAACATGGCACGTCGGTGGTACCTTCCGATTCAAAAGATCACCAGTCCCTGACTGGCAAGTCAACCCTGGAGCAAGCCGAGATGAAAATGGTAATGTCAACGCTGGTGTTGAACTTAAAAGAAAAGGAGAAAAACACGATTTTGAAGCAGGGTGGAATAAGGTTGTCAGTGGTCCCAACAGAGCTAAACCCACATGGCATGTCGGAGGTACCTTTAGATTTAAGAGATCACCAGTACCTGACTGGCAAGTCAACCCTGGAGCAAACCGAGATGAGAATGGTAACGTCAATGCTGGTGTTGAACTAAAAAATAAGGGCAAAGACCATGATTTCGATGCTGGATGGAACAAAGTTGTACGAGGACCAAACCGAGCAAAACCCACATGGCATGTAGGAGGTACTTGGAGATTTAAAAGATCTGTGGATATTGCGGATTTACCCCTAGTCGTTTTTCCTGAAGAAGAACAACAAACAGCATTCTAATAACTACAAATGTGCCATTAATAATTAACAGTGAGAATATGTGTTCAATAGTTTTAGTAATATTTATATTTTTATGCGTGTATTTTTTAAAAGAAATCAAATAAATTTAAAAACATACCAAGTCTATTTTTTACTTACCCATTGTTTGTAAATCTTTTAAAAACCTCTTTATAATAAACCACCTAATCACATTTCGCCTTATACAACTTAAGAAAAATCTACTATTGAAATATTAGTAAAAACCTGAGAAAAGAACTTTGGAATAAAGAGCAAGAAAAAATAAACGAGCACATAAACGTCGAAGCAAAGCAAAGATCGAAGACATAGCATTAAAATTATATGGTCGCCAAATAGAACGAAAAAGTAGTCATAGCTAAAGCAGAAGCGTATACAATCTATACTGGTATATATCTGCTGTCTCAGATTCAGGCTTCACCGTACTGATGACGACCAAATAATAGTCAGAAATAACTAATTTATGGTTATCCTTCAACTTTTTTTTCACTTTCCTTTTTATTCAAGTTTTGACAATAATTTTTCCTTATCTAATTTAAAACAGAGAATAATAATTTATGTTACAAGAACAATTTGTATTGATAAACATTAGAAAGTTAGCTAAATACTGTTTAGAAGTTTTGTTTCAGATAAAAAATTTAAAGAAGCGATAAGTTAGAAACTTTTAATGTTTTATTTCGAGATAAAGTTTTGTGCTAGTAAATAAAAAAGGAATTTTTATTCTAATTGTCTTCTACAAAGTTGGGAAAAACCAAGTTGTATACAATATCGTTGATTTCTTCAAAAAAAAAGAAAGTAGGGATTTTTTGGAAAGTGGTATGGTTAGGATAAATATTGTGTTTTTACCATCCAGAACAAACAATCCAGTTGAAAGACAAGTTGTGTTTTTTTCTGGTTAATTCGGTGCAAAATCGTGGAAGGCGAAAAGAGACCAAGTCGAGAATTCCAAACTCCTTGTGTCCAAAGAGATTCCAGTCTGTGAGTAAAGAAAATAAGCATTATATAAATTTGGCAAGAGGCACCAAGTCGAGGAAAAAAATCTTTGGGCCTAAAGATTGCTGGTCTTATTTCGAACGAATCGGAGATTTGATTTGTGGAGAGGTTCCGAACGAGTGCTGTTTTGAAACATTGTGACAGGAGAAAGCAGATTTGCAGTGTATCAGATTAACACTTTTGATAAAGAGCTTGGACTGTGTGTGAAAACATAGTCAATGAGAATAGGTGTCCATCGGAAAACGTTGGATTAGAGCAAATTTCACATTAAAATAAATAAATTTGGTTCAAAAAAATAGGTAAAAGAAAAGTTAACAGAAATAAACGGGAATACAAAACTCGGTGGTACGACGAAAGGTGAAAGTACTAGAAAATGAAAAGAAACAAGCTTTCCTAACATACAAAGGAGTAAAGACTGCACGAGAAGACTACGTGAGAATCAGGAATAGAGTAAACCAAGAAATAGATAACATCAAAAAATAGCACTGGGAGAAATTAACCAAAGATATGGAATACGACCTCTATGGATCCCATAAAAAGATATAGAAGATGATAAGGAGACAAAAGACAGAAATGAATGAATTTGTAGGCATAGATAACATCACGGAGGAACAATGGACGATAATTTCACGAAATTATATGAAGAAGGAGAGAAAGGATAAAAAATAAACTGCTAAAATATGGAGGAGCAACACTACGCAAATAGCTCCTAAAATTATTCATCGATATAATAAATACCAGAGTAGTACCAGCGAAATGGAAGGAAAGTCTCCTACTAACGATACTTAAAAAAGGAAAACTCGAGAAATCCGGAAAATTATAGAGGCATTAGTCTGATGAATAGTTTATTAAAATTGTTAACGGCAATCATAAAAGATAAAATCGAGGAAAAAGCGAACATGGCCTATGAACAACAAGGCTTCCGGAAGAACCGCAGCACAATAGACGCAATTTATATTATTTGACAAATAATAGAGAGGTCTATTGAATACGGAAAGCCTATTGAATACATGTGCTTTGTAGATTTAAAAAGTGCTTTTGACAGGGTGAAGCGAAATGACATCTTAAATTTATTACAAGCTGAACAAATAGACCATCAGATAAAAAACGAGGAATCCGCCAAGGAGACTCGCTCAGCCCATTGTTATTCAATATGGTGATGAATCAAATAATTCACAAAGTAAAAAAATGACGCGGTGACCACATGGGAGCAAAATATGAGAATATCAGTAGAATATCAGAGAATATCAGTAGAAAAAGCTAAATGTATAGTGATCAGTAAAGGGTAGTGTATATGCAAACTAGAAATAGATGGCAAAATTGTAGAACAAGTAATGAAATTCAATTACCTAGGAGTAGAGATCACTAGTGACAGGAATATAAGAACAGAGACCACAAGGTAAGCATCAAAAGCGACAAGATTGATTGGTTGCCTTCGAGAAACCATCTCTCTCTTCAATCCCATCCCCCAGGGGGAGTGTAGTGGTCGACGTGATGTCGTGTATTGTCCGTCTCCAGAGATCTCTGTCTCTGGTCATTTCTTTTAATTCATGCATAGGTCTTTGGCATATTCCTGTAATTTGATCTATCCATCTTGTTGGGGATCTTCCTCGTGATCTTCGGCCTTCTACCTTTCCTTGTATTATGAGTCTTTCCATGTTTTCTGTGTTTGCTATCATAACATGCCCAAAATATTTTAATTGTTTGAGATGGACTTTACTAGAGAGTCGTTAGCTAACTTTTAGCTCTCTTAAAATTGAATTATTTGTTCTGCGGTCGGTCCAAGGAATTCGTAACATTTGTCTCCAACAGAACATTTCAGTGGCGTCTATCTTTCTTCTCTCCGATTGTCTCAGAGTCCAAGATTCACATCCGTAGGTCAGTATTGGGAATATTAAGCAGTTGATCAACCTCATCTTTATCGCTCGAGAAACCATGTGGAGAAATAAATATCTGACCAAGGAAAACAAAATGAAAGTATACAAGACAACAGTAAGACCAATCCTAGCATACGCAGTGGAGACAAGGCCGGATACAAAAAGACGAAACAACAAATCAACAATATCGAAATAAAAGTATTCAGATCAATAGCGGGCATATGATTAAGAGACAGACAAACCAACAGAAGTATACGCGAACAATGCAAAATTCAAAATATTAACAGATGAATAAAAGCAAGAAAAAAAACTGGAACGCACATGTAAATTGAATGGGACCAGATAGATTAGCGAACATCTGTAAAAACCACAAACCGTATAGCAGAAGACCCGTTGGAAGGCCGCCAAAAAGGTGGAGAATGTACAATCAACAACGACTGAAACATAATAAAAGGCAGACAAACAGAAGTATTCCTAGTGACACGAAGAAGAAGAAGAAGAGGTTTAAAAAGGAAAACAAAATCAAAGAAGTTCGTGGCAATTAGATAAGAAAGATTGTACATGATAAAAGTTAGAAGAACATTTGATCTTTTTTATATGTTTTATAGTAAAATAAATAAATGGTATTTGAAAGTTTTTTAATTTTTGTTTACTATATTTATTTTTCTTGTTTATCCTGAATAAAGCAAGCAACTGAGAAATACTAGAAGACACGAAATAAAGATTAATTGTAATAATAAATGTATCCTGAGAATTTTGAATTATTGCATAATTTTATTAAAGTGATTAATTAATTAAGTTAATTAATCAAAGCCAGCTCAATCATATCAAAAGCAAGAAAAGTAGATCATATATATATATATATATATATATATATATATATATATATATATATATATATATATATATATATATATATATATATATATTTATAATTTTTTTATAGATAATGCAGATAAAAGAAGTATCAGCTATATCATATATTTATGGTTCATTATTTGTATTGGCATAAAGAATTCAAAGAACAGTAATTACCGGTTTTATACATAAAATACGTTGCAGCTTTAGTGCCTAATAAAAAATGAGTAATTTATCATTCCGAGGCCGCGTAATATGACAAGTGAGGCGGATTCTGTAATGTGATTCTTGAAATATATCTAAACAAAAAGAAGAGGCGGCAGCTGATCACTTAGGTGCAGGTAAATGACCACCGTAACCAACTTACAAAAAAAATTAAAGCTAATACAATGAAACGCAAATAATTATTTAAATTACGTTACAAGTCAAATGGTCACTATTAAAAAAAAGTGCCGTTGAATCATTACAAGAACCAAAGTTAGGTTTGCTTTATTAAGTATTAAAATTATTAAAAAAAAAATTATAGGTTTCGTTTAAGATGTCAATATAAAGTTAAATATCAATATAAAGTTAAATATCAATATAAAGTTACGAATACGAATGCTGAGGTGTTATGTCTTTTCTACCCTGTTATATGGAGTTGAGGCTTGGACACTAAAACAGTTGACCATAAAAAACATCGAAGCTTTCGAGATGTGGTGCTATAGGCGCATTCTCAGAATATCATGGATGGACCGCGTCACTAACACGCAAGTACTCCAAACTTTAGACAAAAGATGCGAAATTCTAAATGAGATAAAAACTAGAAAGATGGAATACTTGGGGCACATTGTGAGAGGTGAAAAGTACGAACTTTTAAGAAACATCATGCAGGGCAAAATTAAGGGCAAAAGAAGTGTGGGAAGAAGAAAAATATCGTGGCTTCGTAATCTACGTGAATGGTTCGGGTGTAGTTCGATTGAACTTTTCAGGCGCGCTGCTAACAAAGTCGCAGTGGCCATGATGATTTCCAATCTCCGCTAGGAGTGGCACGAGAAGAAGAAGAAGATGTCAAAGTGAAATTACTAGTAACACTAACTTTTCAGAGGATGAATTGTATTTTTTAGGATTAAGCCTTAAGTTTTCTTGTCAGAATTTAAGGTTAACTGACTCAGTGCTAGTAGGCTTTGCATTGGAGCGGGATACTCCAATAGAAGGGATGACAAACAATGCTGAAATTAAACAGTATTTGAGAAACTCTTGCATTAGCTAACTTCA